GACAAAGTCTTGCTCTGTCACCCAGGTTGGAGTGCAGTGGTGCAATCTCAGCTCACTGCAACCTCCACCTCCCAGGTTCAAGCGATTCTCCTGCCTCAGCTTCCCGAGTAGGTGGGATCACAGGCATGTTGCACCATGCCCAGCTGATTTTTGTACTTTTAGTAGAGACAGGGTTTCTCAATGTTGGCCAGGATGGTCTCAAACTCCTGACCTCAAGTGATCCGCCCACCTTGACCTCCGAAAGTGCTGGGACTACAGGCATGAGCCACCGTGCCCAGTCCCATAATATATTTCTAACATGAAGTATAATGAAAACTATATAACAACATAGCATGCCCATTGTCTTAGTTCAAGCTACTATAACAAGATACCGTACATTGGGTGGCTTCAACAACAAACTTTTTAAATTTTTTTATTCTTAAGTTTTGTGGGTGTATATAGTAGGTGTATATATTTAACAAACATTTATTTCTCACCGTTCCATATGCCAGAAGTCCAAGATCAGGGTGCCAGCATGGTCACTTCTTAGTGAGGGCCCTCGTTCTGGTTCACAGACAGCTGCCTTCTCACCAGATACTCACCTGTTAGAAAGAGAGCGTGCTGGTTCCTTCATCTCCTTGGAAGGGCACAAATCCCATCATGGGGCTTCACTCTCATGACCTCGTTTAAACCTAATCACCTCCCAAAGACCCCTCCTCCAAATTCTATCACATCGGGAACTAGCACTTCAACATATGCATTTTGGGGGTACACAAACAGGATCCATTTTCTCAATGTTGGATCACAAGGAGTGCTATGGACTCCTTGTGATCCAATTTTGGGAAAATCCAAACGTATATGTGCATTGGTGTGGGTATGCGTCACGTTAACCAAGAATAGGAATGAATATCCCAGACTTTGGAAATATGCCAGTGTTGTACTCCTTTGCAATTGTCTTAACATCATGGTGGCAAATCTCAATCCAGTGGTAAAGGTGGGGACTTCTTTAAAATAAGCGAATGTCCCTGCTGGTAGTCATCCCAAGAAGAGGTTAGTCCTGGAGCAAGAATTGGTGGGGCAGTAGGGAGAGCTTTTTGCTCTGCCCGAGCACAGATGGCAGGCGACCAGAAGTTTGGAACAGTTCATACAATAAGAATATGAACTTATTGACAACCAAAACTTTTAAATATACATGTATAAACATTAATAAATAAATATACATTGAAACTAATTAACAATGAAGAAAAACTGAACGTATACTCATAATAATAATAATGGGTAAAAATTACTGCATACTTACTATAAAGTGCTTATTTTCCTGAGGGATTTATATATATTACTTAATCTTCATAATAGCCTTATGAGAAAAGATACTATTACTATCTCTATTTTTTAGATGAGGAAACTGAAGTACAGAGAGTTTAGTAACTTGCATAAAAGCACACAATATTTAATCTTCTTTATTCCTCAGGAACACGGCCTCAAGAACAACCAAGCACTTGATACAGAGTTAACTCTAACTCACATGAACCAATCAAGGCCCTGGACAGGGCGGTGCATACCAGGTCAGCACCAAGGTCGATATATCCAAAATGAGATTGTATAAGAGGAAAGGACTAGAACGCACCTCCAAGAAGGTCTGGAAAAGCGAGAACCAACTGGGGAAGAGGTTCAAAGTAGACTCAAGGAAGATGAAGGGGAATTCTTGAGCCAAAGCACAAGTGGATGGAAAAGATTCTTAGGCTTCCTGAGGCTATGCAGTGAGCGTATCTAGAGAAAGGGGGGCGGGAGTGGAAAAAAGCAAAGAGCAAAGCTAGCACTTAGTCTCCTTTCCCTAGGCAAATCAGAGCTGGCATTTTCCTAGTGTGAAGGCGCTCACTCACTCTAGGAAAGTTTTTAGGTGGGGAGCAGAGTCTCACAACCAGTCCCCAGTCAGTATACATAAGAATCTCCTGGGAAGCTGTTAAAAATGCAGATTCCTTCTAAAAAAAAAATTGAACACACAAAAGCAGAAAGTAGAGTGGTGATTACCAGGGGCTGGGAGTGGGGGGGCTAGGTTGGTTGGGGTTGGGGAGATGTTGGTCAAAGGATACAAAATTTCAGTTAGGTAAGAGGAGTAAGTTCAAGAGATCTATTGTACAATATGGTGACTACAGTTAATAGCAACGTATTGCATTTTTGAAAATCTCTAAGAGAGTAGATTTTAAGTATTCTCACCACAAAAAATAAGTATCTGAAGTAATACATATGCTAATTACCTTGATTTAGCCATTCCACAATGTATACACACTTCAGGACATCATTTTGTGCATGATAAATATATATAATTTTTATTTATTATGACTCCCAGATTCCTCCTGGGAGTCACTTTCAGAAATCCCAAGTCCACTGGTCTACATTAGGGCTGATGAATCTACATTTTAAATAAGCTCCCCAAGTCATTAGAGAACCACACGTGGAGAAAACTGCACCTATACATTTCTAGTTATCAAGTATAGATACTGTCCATGGGACCATTGGGAAATAAACACTTTTCCTCTGAATACTTGGGGTTTCCTGTCCAGCTTACACTGGTGACTTAGTGGGTCACACAGGGAAGTTCTGAGACTCAGTGAACCTGGCACAGTGGGCAAAACTACAAGATAGGATGTCTATCCATGAAGGGAGACAACTGGAGTAGGATGCCACGGAATTGGTGATATCATATGTCTCAAAAGATCCTAGACTTACAACTGCATGTGAATCTACAACTATATCACAATAAGTAAAAAGTTTCAAAAGAAAATCCCTAACAGAGATCATCCAGCCACTGGCATGGGCAGGTGCTATATATGTGCCTGGAGAAGAGGTACTAGGGTGTTTCCCAGGGATCCGGTGTTAGTGTCAACTCCTGGGCCCAGTCCTTTGCATTAATTTGGAGGAAGGGGGTGAAATAGTTAGCTGTCAGTATGTGGATGGTGCTGGAAAGTGTGAGAGTACAGTAGGTATGAACACTGCAGTTGCTATGAAAAAGGACGGTAAAGTGGTGTGAGCAAACACTTGTCCAAAGGACACAGACTGATCACCTTGTCAATCGACTCTTTATAGCACATCTATGGGACTGGCTGTCAGTCTCTGGATGAGTGGCAAACAATGGCTACTAGTTATGAACATGACATATTTTGAAAAGCTCCCTTGGAAAAATAGCACAAACTAGGGACTCAGAACCCAGATTTGGTTTTACTGTCCATGGAGGCAGAACCAAAAGATCTCACTATTCTAAGAGGAGGGCAGCAGCTAGAGTGGATTGGGAGAATATTACCAGCAGTAGAGATGGGAGGACAAGCCATTTTAGTGTCAGAGTCCACCATCAGCAGTAGAGACTTGCTTTGAGAGGAGAGTCAATTGGATACTAAATGCAGTGTGAAGGTTTCTAAAGACATTCCTCAATCAAAATCAGAGGGTAAAGCAGTCCCTTGAATCACCTAGGCCTGTCCTTTACCTGGACACAAGTGGTAGAGTAGAGAGAATTCTGAATGGTATCACCCAAAGCTTTGCATAGGCCTTAGGTCAGCAGGCATTGCACACCTTTCTTTGCTATTCCTGGTTTCTGAGACTCTGATCCCCACTGTGCACCCCAGTAAGCCACCAAGGTAAACTGCTTGCCTTGATCGTCTCTCTCGACACTCTGCACTATACACAGTCTTGAATGTCGGTTAGGTGCTGCTATGTGGGAATCTACCTGCTTCCCTAATAGATATAGCCAGGACACAAAGTTGTGTGGTTATGACACTCCCATAATAGAGCTGCCTCCACAGCTCCTTGAAATTCTGGATCAGGGATTGGACATCTAACAGGTAGTTTTGCCTGCTTAGTATGACAGAGTTCAATCCAATGAAAGGAAGACACGGTCCCTTGTGTGTAATGAATCTGCAAGTCACTTATTCAAACTGTAGTAGTCTGAACTCAGATGCTGATGTCAGGTGTCCTCAGGATTATCTTCCTGGGTCTTGACTGCAGCCACTCCTACACAGGGTGATTTCCTGGGCTGGAGCCAGTTTGCAGGACTATGAGACTATGTGGACTACAAAGACTAGCTAGGCCCCAGGGTGGCGGCAGAGTAAGCCCCACAGCAATGCACTAAGCCTTCATGAAATGAGTGTTGAATGAATGAGGTAGTGATTCAGTGTATATTTGACCTACGGTAACAGGTGGGAACGGGGCAGTGGGAGCTACTTCCTAAAATAACCCTTCTTCAGACTCTTAAAGAACTGATCCTTGTTTTGAATTAAAATCTGTCTTCATTTAACTTCCAATCATTTGCCCTACAGATAACCGTCAGTGCCACATCAGTTCTACCCATTCTTTCACATGAAGACAGATGTCATGTTCTGAGTCATCTTTCTTTGCCTCCTTCCACCAGCCCTTATCTGGTGGCTCACATTTGAGCGAGCTCCAATATGTCTTTGTATAATCTCTCTCTTTTTTTTTCGAGATGGAGTCTCGCTCTGTCGCCCGGGCTGGAGTGCAGTGGCCGGATCTCAGCTCACTGCAAGCTCCGGCTCCCGGGTTCACGCCATTCTCCTGCCTCAGCCTCCCGAGTAGCTGGGACTACAGGCGCCCGCTACCTCTCCCGGCTAGTTTTTGTATTTTTTAGTAGAGACGGGGTTTCACTGTGTTAGCCAGGATGGTCTCGATCTCTTGACCTCGTGATCCGCCCGTCTCGGCCTCCCAAAGTGCTGGGATTACAGGCTTGAGCCACCGCGCCCGGCCTCTTTTTTTTTTTTTTTTTCCTTTGAGACGGAGTTTCGCTCTTGTTGTCCAGGCTGGAGTGCGATGGCGTGATCTTGTCTCACCGCAACCTCCCCTCCCGGGTTCAAGCGATTCTCCTGCCTCAGCGTCCCTAGTAGCTGGGATTACAGGCATGCACCACCACGCCCGGCTAATTTTGTATTTTCAGCTGGTCAGGCTGGTCTGGAACTTCCGACCTTAGGTGATCCGACCGCCTCGGCCTCCCCAAGTGTTGGGATTACAGGCGTGAGCCACCGTGTCCGGCCTGTAAAATCTCTTAAAAGTGTGGTACACGGAGTGCAGTACTCCACCTGTGGCCTAACTGATATGCAGTACGATATTATCACTAAATTGCTACAGACGGTGTGCTTTTCCTTGTTGTCACAGGAATGTATTTGGTTAGTTATATTTGTTAACGTCTCATCTGACTTTCCAGTCTTCCTTCACTTTGTGCAGTCATATTTGCCGAGTCAAGTAAGTTATAATATTTAGGACACAATGCCTGACTTACTATAATTATCTTATTAGCTATGATCATTACAAAACAGAATTACCACTTAGCTCTCAGGTCCTACCTCCTTCAGCCTCAGAAACGTTAAGGCTACCTAGCATTGCATTGGCTTTTTAGTATCGCCCCTAATAAGCCCCGCCCCTGGGACCTCGGCAGCTGGAGCCCAGCGTCCGCCCCACCCACGCCGAGCCCGAGGCGGGGCTCTGGATGTAGCCGCTGATTGGCTGGCTCGGGCGCAGCTTGATGGCTTCAGCCTGGAGAGCCGCCGTCCCGGCTGCGGCACCTGGGAGAAGGCAGCCTGTAGAGTCCGGTGGCCCCAGCGTGCCGTGGCCTCGGGGAGTGGGAAGTGGAGGCAGGAGCCCTCCTTACCCTTCGCCATGAGTTTCCTGATCGACTCCAGCATCACGATTACCTCCCAGGTGAGTCACCGCCTCCCGCCCCGACACCCGTCCGCCTCCCTTTCCCGAATCGCCCTCTCGGGTCCTCCGCGGTGCGGGCTGGTCTGGGGTCTCGCGTCTTTCTCAAGCAGCCTGCGCAAGTTACTTCGGGACCCAGAGCGCGAAGAGGGTGTGCGATTTGCTGCCTCCGGTTCCCTCAGCCCCGGCTGTCAGGAGGCTGGCCTGCGGCCGTCCGCGGCCCCACCCGGCATCCGTCCCTGGAATTTCGGTCCACTTTTGGAAGGGGTCCGCCGGCCTCCACGCTTAGAGCCGGCGCCGCCAGCTAAGGTGGCGGTCCTCAGAGCTCCTCGGAGCTTCCAGGCTGCGCCGCTGACCCTGGGCTGGGGAAGCCTGTGTGGTTCCGGGCACCCGGTGTGCGGGGCGCCAATCAGGGCTGGATACTGAGGACACGTCAGTGCAGGCTTTGCTGTTAGATGTCAAATCTGCATCCGGGTGTGGAGAAATTTGCTGCTTCAAAGTGTCAATATAAGGTTATACGTATGCTTAAAAGTTAAGATTTCGTTTTTGCACTGACACCTCATCCTTTATCCTCTGCTTACTTACCCACACTTTTCGGATGTTTTTCTGACCCTCATTTCTCCATTGGTCACCTTCATTTGTTTGTACAGTCAGCAAACATTTATCGACCATTATATAAAGCCCTGAGCGTACAAACATATGAGACACCGTCTCTGCTCAATAGAAGCTTCGTCTAGTGAGTCTCTTGCTTTTACCGTGTAATCCGCTGTTAATTATTGTTTCTTCCTAGCATTTATCATAGCACTGGCATCATTTATGTATGTGTTTATGATTTTGTTTTTTGAGATCCTGCCTTGTTCATAGCTGTATCCCCACTTCCAAGTGCAGGCATTCAATAAATAATTGTTGGCCAACTGTTAATATTTGTGAAACTCAGACTACTTATTGATCTTTTTCCCCTCGTCTTTCCAATAATTTAAAGATTTTTGTGTGTGTGTGGTTATTTTTACCTGTTCTTTCTCTCAAATGGCAAATAACGAAACAGTTACCTTTTGGGGCTTAAAGTGAACTAAATTTTTGTTCTTTGATTCAGTTTTTGTATTGCTTCATCTTAATACTCGTCTCCGTAGAGCGGAGCATTTGCCTTTTCTCTTCAAAAACTTTTACGATATTTAAGAAATTACGAAAGAAGGAAAAGCCATCCATAATCCTACCACTCTAATGCAATCTTTTTTTTTTCATGTTTTGAATATACCACCTTTGCTATAGTTTTCATAATTATTGTTTTTATTGGCTTCATAGTATTCAAATGTATTAATGTAAAAAAACCTGGGCATGTAACTCTTCTGCTTAAAACCTTTCTAAGACTACCCAGTGCCCTTGGTGACAACTCAGGGTTGTTTTTAACCCTAGTACCAATTTAAGAAAAATAACAATATTTAATTAGCCTTTTTTTTTCACTTAGAATAAAGATAAGAATGTCAGTAGAAAATTGGCTTTGCATTGCAGCCTCTAAGATTTTTAGCGTGGATATAATTGATACGTTGAACCAAGGAAGTGGCTTTCTAATTTTGTATGCCTTGTAATCATAGACTTTTACTTCACACATGTAACCAAATGCAGTAATTAATTGTTAAACTAATGTGGAAGAAAGACCCGAAGATTCCTTTGCATGGAATGTTCTCTGTTCAAATATTTGTGTGGCTACTTTATCATCATTTCGGCATTAGTAAAAGTGTCAGTTTAGGAAGGTTTTACCTGACACCCTGCCCACAGCCAAAGTGGCTTTCCATTTCGGCTGCCTTCTTCCTCATTTCCATGTTTTATTTTCTTCTTGGCATTTATTACTATAGTTCATTTGTATGTTCATGTGTTTGTTGTCTGTCCATGAAGTCCAAGACACTGTCTTTCTTGTTCTCTCCTGTATTCACCAGCATCTAAATCAGTTGCGGGCACACAGTAGCGTTGTAGTGAATATTTATTTAATAAAAAGCACTTCTCTAGAGAGGTGCGGTTACCTTGGAAACACCACCATTGCCCCCTGAGCCCCTCCCCACTCATTTTTTCTGTGTTGTATTAACTGAAAGGTTTATTTGAAATGAAATCTGAAATCAGAGGTCACATATTGACTCTTGCTCACCGCACCACAGGATGAAGTTCACACTCCTTTACGTGGCTTTTCAGGTCCATTATTGATGGGACCCTCGCCCTTATCAGGTCCCTTATTGATGGGACCCTGGCTCTTCTCTCTTCAGCTGTGGCTTTCACCATTTTATTCTTTAGACTTCCAGAACTTCTTTTAGTTCCCTAACCTGGCCATGCTGTGGTGCCTCCAGATTTCCACACAGTGTGTTTTCTTTTTCTGGGCCCTTTCCTCATATCCCTTTCAGCCTTCAGATCTCAACTTGAGCATCCAAGAAGCTTCTCCTAGACTGGACTAGATGTCCCTATACATACTGCCATAGTACCCTTCACCTACTTCCCCTGTAACAATGCTACCACATTGTTTTGTAATTACTCCTTTATCTCCTCCGTAGATTATAAACTCTTTGAGAGTAGCATTCATGCTCTCTTGTTTGCCATTCTATCCCTTGGACCTGGCACGTATTAGGCACTAATAAATATTTGTTAAATAATTAAAAGGGTGAATAAATGATCCAAGAATAAACTATCTTTTATAGTTAATTCTTTAATAACTATCCTGCTGATGGCCTCTTTTTTCTTTTTTTTAACAGTAATTTTCAACCCAGAAGTCACTTTTATGAAAGCAACTGTTATCTAACTTGTGTTTTGAGCCCTCTATACAGTCATAAGAGTTATCAGTTCCAGAGTACACTCTTAAGTCCTAAGATCAAGACTTTACTCTTTACAATTCTGAAAGTATTAAGTCTCGTTTATAATAAGAAGCTATGTGCCTTCTATTTTATTTGCAAAGCTATTTGAAATTGCATTTTGCTTCTGCATTCTTTTTGGATCCTCTATAATCTTGCCAGAATTTGTGTTTATCTTGGATGTAAATGAATTATCCAGCTACTTTTGTGTATGTCCGTAGTTTAAAAGTCTTTTTTTTTTTTTTTTCAACTTTTATTTTATTGTAGATTTGGTACTTGTGCTGGGTATATTGTGGGAGCTGAGGTTTGGGATACAAATGATCCAGTCACCCAGGTACCAGGTACATAGTACTCAGTAATTAGTTTTTCAGTCCTTCCCCTTTCTCCCCTCCCCTGCCCCCAAGTAGTCTCCAGTTTCGTTTTTTGCCATCTTTATGTTGGTGAGTACCCAATATTTAGCTCCCACTTAGAAGTGAGAACATGGGGTACTTGGTTTTCTGTTCTTGCATTAATTTGTTTAGGATGATGGCCTCTAGGTGCATCTGTGTTGCTGCAAAAGACATAACTTTGTTCTGAAAGTCTGTTTACGCTTTCTTTGTCAATGCGAAAGGAAGCCACAATGAAATATTAAAGGTATATATCTGTTTCTCTTTTCTTCCATTCCCCTCCCCACCATATAAACTTAAAAGTTTTGCTTGTTTTCCTTGTCTAAAGTTCCATTTCACAGCAATCTTGGTGATTTTTTTTTTTTTTAAATCATCCATTTCCACTATACATACCATTCTCAGTCCTAACTACCCAACTTCTCTGTTTTCAGTTGTGGCTTCGTAAGTCATATGAATATGGTTTCTAAACTCTGAATTTACATTTGTCTCCACGGGTAACCATTTATAATAGCCAAAGGATATCCTGGCATTTTCGCCTAATCTGCTTGACTCTTTCCTTTTCTACTTGATCTAGATGCTTGGATCCAACTTACTTTCTTACAACCTCTTGTTCGTTTACCTTCGTATATATATAAGTCCATACTTGCATCATTGCTATAGTTTGTCTACTAATACAGAGGCCTGAAGGCTACTGTAGAAAATCATACAGCTGTGTAGTTTGCCAACGCCGTGAGTTTAACCCTCAACTCACTGAATTATTCCTTTTCTTGACCTTAATCAGCTACTTGTTTCATTCCTCTCAAACTTTCTCTGAATCTTTGTCACTCTCCTCAAAGCTGCCTTTTCTATACTCACCTGTCTTACTCCTAGCAGATAACCTTGCCTCGTACTTACTCAACAAAAGTGAAGCCAAAAGGTATGTTCTCCTACTATGAATACTTTCTGCATTTTAATCTAAAAGGTTATCTGTGTTCACAACCATTCTCACCTCCTTTCCTTCCATTTCAGAAAACGGGGTTCCCCTACTCTGGTTTAAGGCCATTTTACTTACTTTGATCTTAGAGTAGCTTATTTTGAAGTGGTTAAAAGCACAGGTTTTCTAGACAGACTGACTCAATAAGAGCTGAAAAAATAATATTTTTTAAAAAAGCACAGATTTTGGAGTCAAACAAGCTTGAGTTCATTCTTGATTCTGACACTTACTATAAATTGAATAACTTCGCTAAACCTCATCTTTCTCTGTGAAAATAGGACAATAAAACCTACCTTAGTAGGTTTTTTACTGGTTTTTATAAGATTATAATGCTAAGTACTACTTAGAGAGCCTGGAATATAGTAAATGCTTAATAAAAGTTACCTAATAATAATAATAATAAATTAATAGTATCAGTTCATCCTCTAGCATTCCATCATCCTTCTCATCTTTTTCTCCTTACTTGACTGCTTTCTTTCCCCTTGGCCAATAAACTTTCCCTTTTTCCACATTCTCCTCTAGCCTATTATCTAATGTTTTCTCTTTTTCTCATTCCTGGCTCTTCCTAGAGTAATTTGCATTTACTATCCCCACTGGTTTAGCTCCCATTCATTCTGACCTGCTACACTGTAGTTCCTGCCCCTACCTCACCATTCAAACTGTGTTCCTTATCCTCTAGTGTTTTCTTCTTGGCACATTGCTCTCCTTACTCTAGATACTGTTCCCGGGTGATCTCATGTACTTTGGTAGTTTCAACTCATAGGTATATCTTAGATGTGTCTTCGCAATCTGTCTTTTATTCAGATGCTTGCTGGATATCTTGACCCATCTTGCTGGATATCTTGACCCATATTGCTGACTGTCCCTCAGGCCCTTAGTGTGTTCAGAAATGAGCTCATCATTTTCCCCATCCTCTGCCCCCTTTCCTAAACCTCTTCTTTCTCCAGTGTTCTTTATATAAATTGGGTAGCTTCACTATTCATCCTGTATTCCAAACTAGTCATCCTTGACTTCTCCCTGCTGATTTTATCTTCTAAATAGTTCTCAAATCTGTCATCTCCTCTTCTGTCACCAAATGTCTTAATTCAGGGCTTTATCATCTTTCATCTGAACTCCCATAATACATTTCTATGATGTTTCTCTTCCTACAATGTTATTTCCTTCAAATGTGTCTTCCACACAGCCACCATACTGCTCTCTATAATATACAACAAATCAGACCATGCCATTTCCCTGCTTAAATAACCCTCACCACCTACAGACTATAATCTTAGGGTGGCCTTCAAAGCTCTCAGTGGTTGGACATCCACTCCTCCTGTCTAGCCTCATTTTTAACCTCTTCCTTCTTTGAATTTCATCTTCTAGCATCTCCAAACCATGTGTAGTTCCTGGCACATACCACGCTTTTCACTCTGCACGTTTACTCATGCCCTTTGCTATCTGGAAAGCCCTGTCCTCCTACCCCTACCACCTGTTTTTACCCTACCTGATACTTTTTGTTGTTGTTGTTCATTTGTTTTGTTTTGAGACAGGGTTTCGCTCTGTCGCCTAGGCTGGAATGCAGTGACGTGCTCACGGCTCACTGTAGCCTCCACCTGCCAGACTCAAGTGGCCCTTCCACCTCAGCCTCCCCATAAGCTGGAACTACAGGCACGCACCACCACACCTAGCTAATTTTTGTATTTTTTGTAGAGATAGGGTTTCACCATGTTGCCCAATCTGTTCTCAAACTCCTGGGCTGAAGCGATCCACCCGCCTTGGCCTCCCAAAGTGCTGGAATTACAGGCGTGAGCCACCGTGTCCAGCCTCCCTACTTGATTCTTATTCATCCTTTGAGAGGGTGGTTTTTAATATGTTAGGGGCGGTGGAAACCTTTGAGTGTGTGATGAATACCTTGAAACCATTCTAGAAAAATACACATAATCCCAAAATTTGCACACAATATCAGGTTTTAACCCCAAATTAAAACTTCCTTCAGCTCAGGCATTATCTTCTCCAGAAAATCTGTCCTAAGCCCCTACAGATTGGTTTGGTCTCCCTCTTTCATATTGTTTTACAATATCATGTATGTATTTCTACCACTGCATATCCATATTATGTTATAGTTATTTATGTAGTGTCTTCACTATGTTGTGAGCTTGTAGAGAGTAGTAACCATCCTACTCATCTTTGTATCCCCAGCACCTAGCATAGCACATAGGAGTTATTACAGAAAATTTAAGATTGAATGCTGAAGAATAAACCGTCTTTTATGTAGACCACTTAGCCATTCAGCAAGCACTTATGGAGAGCCTGCTACATACCAGGCTTTGTGCTGGATGCCAAGGATACAAAGATTGCAAGACAAACATGGTTTTTGTCCTCATAGAGCTTATAATCTAATGTCAAAAAATATCTAAATCAGGCATTACAAAACTGCATGGTAAGCACTTTGATGAGGGAAGTACAATGTAGAATAGGATTATATAAAAAGAGCAATTTATCTGTGTTTGGGAGGGCAGAGAGGGCCTTCCAGAGGGAGTAAATAGCATAACTGGGAGAGGGTTGGAGAGAAGTTCCTGTCAGAGGACATTTACAGAGGTCTCGATGTGAAAGAATATGGGTCTAAAGAACCAAAGGAAGTTCCAGGGGGCTGAACACATGAGTTTGCTAGGCAGCAGGGGCACGATAAGAAGCTAAAGTAGTCTGTGCTAAACTACTGAGTTTACACTTGCTCAGTAAAGTAGTCCCTAGGAAGACATAAAATCATTTTATTCATAAAGGTCCTAGCCAGTTTAAGAAGAAAAGATTAGTCGTGTCAGTGCATGTCTATGTATAGAAAGTTCTATTTACTACAGACCAGCTTTGTCAGCTGTCATGTGGCTACGGTCTCTGCCAGTTTGAAACAAAACTGACAAAAGAGGGATCCTGCAATCTCTCAGCTTTACACTGAGATGAAAACCACTTTATGTAGATTAGGCAGGATGGCGGAGAAGCTAAGAAAACTCTCTGAAGGAAACAGATATAAAACACATTAGGCTTTCTACTGCTCGTCTACTTTTGGTGTCAATTCCTTTCCCGTGAAGTTTTTATTTTTTAAATTGATTTATTTTTATTTATTTTTTGAGACAGGGTCTCACTCTGTTGCCCAGGCTGGAGCACAGTGGTGCAGTCATAGCTCACTGCAGCCTCAACTTCCTAGGCTCAGGTGATCTTCCCACCTCAGCCTCCCAGGTGGCTGGGACTACAGTCACACCCCACCACCTCCAGCTAATTTTTGTGTGTGCATGTTTTTTATAGAGATGGGTTTTCACCATGTTGGCCAGGCTGGTATTTTTTTTTTTAAATACTTGCAATCAGGGATCATCCGTAAGAAGCAAGTCTCACTCTGACTCCTTTTCTTTTTTTTGAGACCGAGTCTCACTCTTATCACCCAGGCTAGAATACAGTGACGCGATATTGGCTCTCTGCAACCTCCGCCTCCCAAAATGCAAGTGATTCTTATGCCTCAGCCTCCGGGAGTAGCTGGGATTACAGGTGTCCGCACCCAGCTAATTTTTGTATTTTCAGTAGAGACGGGGCTTCGCCATGTTGGACAAGACTGGTCTCGAACTCCTGGCCTCAGGTGATCTGCCCACCTTGTCCTCCCAAAGTGCTGGGATTACAAGTGTGAGCCACCGCGCCTGGCCACTGACTCCTTTTCTATTTGCAAACTTCTGTGGCTCATGTAATGATTATCATAAGATTATGGGAAAATATATACTTCCATTTTTGTCTTACTTAAAGCACACTCTGTAACATGGATAGCTTCAAAAATCCAAGAGCATTTAAACATTTATTTCCAATGTCATGAGCTTTAATAAGTAGGTCTTATAAGAGTGGATCTTATCTTTAATCCCTGAAATAAGTTAACCATCTAGTTAGCAGACCTTTTATCATGAGTTTCTATAAAACGTTTCTCAAAAGAAAATATAGATTGACATTCTATTTTCCTTCTTCTCCAGATACTGTTCTTTGGATTTGGGTGGCTTTTCTTCATGCGCCAATTGTTTAAGGACTATGAGGTGAGAAGAAATCACTTTGTCATACTTACACTGTATGAATTTAGATTGTTTTAAAATGGGACAAGAAAAATGCCTCCATTAAAGAAACATTATGTTCATTTCCAAGATGGGAAGCTTTTACCAAATAAGTACTATATAACTATTAGATTGGAGAATATAATTAGGCTTAATTGATTTAAAAGGGGGGGGGGAAGGCAAATCAAATATAGCCCAGAAGTTAGGAGAAAGGAATGTTATGCCTTAGTCATATCAGGATATGCACCAATAGCAAATAGTTATTCTGCAGGAGAGAATTTATTCATAATGTCTCACAAATGTTCCCTTTCATTTGTCTATCTGACCCTGAATTACCAGTCTTATGTTTTAAATTAAAACCAAAATCCCAAAGCTGGTGTAGTTTTTATCTCAAGCTTTGGATTCAGAAGATCACCACCCTAGATTGGACATTTCCTAATTAGTTCTCCTAATTAGTTGTGGGCAGCAAGCCACCCAGGTGCCTAGGCAGGGACCGAGGGCACAAGCTGTTCCAGTATAATAAAATATGTAAAACAAGAATAGTTATACTAGATATAGATCATAGATATGATTATATATGAATATCATTAATCATTAGTTTGTAGCAATTACTCTTTATTCCAGTATTATAATAATCCTCGCTCTACAATCATAACCTAGGAAAAACCAGGCCATACAGAGACAGGGGCTGGGGGGGACATAGTGAGAAGTGACCCGAGGATGCCCGTTGCCAAGCAGACCATGGTCTAGCGATAGCATCAGTGTCAGGGAAAAACACCCACTAGTTAGCAGACCGGGAAGGGGAGTCTCCCTTTCCCTGGGTAGTTTAGAGAAGACTGTACTCCTCCACCTCTTGTGGAGGGCCTGACATCAGTCAGCCCCACCCGCAGTTATCCGGAGGCCTAATCATCTCCCTGTGATGCTGTGCTTCAGTGGTCACACTCCTAGTCCGCCTTCACGTTCCATCCTGTACGCCTGGCTCTGCCTTCTAGATAGCAGTAGCAAATTAGTGAAAGTATTAAAAGTCTTTGATATGCAGAAATAATGGCCTAAGATCTCTCTCTCTCACCTGTCTTTCTCTCTGCCTCGGCTGCCAGGCAGGGAAGGGTCCTCCGTCCAGTGGACACATGACCCACATGACCTTACCTATCATTGGAGATGGCTCACACTCCTTAACCTGCCCCTTTGTCTTGTATCCAATAAATATCAGCGCAGCCTGGCATTCAGGGCCACTACCGGTCTCCAGGTTTTGGTGTAGTGGTCCCTCAGGCCCAACTGTCTTTTCTTTTATCTCTTTGTCTTGCATCTTTATTTTTACAGTCTCTCATCTCCGCACACGGGGTGAAATACCCACCGACCCTGTGGGACTGGTCCCTACAATTAGTAGTAAGATCAGGGGTTATAGTCGACATTTGGGTCATTTCTAGGATGTTCTCCATTAAATTTTCCCAGGGATTTTATTGTCTGAAAGAGCCTGGAATTCTGGAGATTTTCTTCTGCCCAATACTTTAAGGCCTCCCAAGGGAGGTTCCAGAACTGATCCAGGATCTGCAGAGTGTTGAAGAACCCCTTTAAACATTAACCATTATATACGAATCTGTCAGTTTTTTGTCAGTGTGCATCAGGAATTCTAAGTGCTACCTATGACCCTGTCACTTCATCTTCTTGTCCTCAAAATTCTTCATCCACAAGAGGATGCTGGTAATAGTGACTCAAGATTCAGAAGTGCCACCTACTTTGGTCTTTTTCTTTAGCTCCAGGCAAGTTGCTGTTGTGGCCCTACTTCCAGTGACTTCAGAATTTCCTCAAAATAAGTTTTCTGACTTGTAACCAGAAGGAGGTTATCAGTTCAGTTTTTAAACACGGAAATAACTTCTAGTCTCTATTTGGCTTTTAACAGGTAACGTCGGTATGTTGTACAGGTGATCTTCTCTGATATTTGCATTTTCTTGCACCATGTTTGAGCTCATCATCTTTGAAATCTTAGGAGTATTGAATAGCAGGTGAGTAAGAGTACTGAATAACTCCTCTTGAAGAGTTCTGTGCTACATTCTTTACCATGGAAAATCTACCTGGATCCCATAACTGAAAAAAACAAAGAAACAACAAACCAAAAACAAACAAACAAACAAAAACACTGTGTTAATAATTTAGTCTCAGTAGCTACAATGATCACAGCAGATATGGGTCACAGCCACCTAATAGCTGGTTTGACAAAGATTATGAGAAACCAGGAAAGAAAAGATCTGACCATTAACTCTGAAGAACTCATTGGAGTGAGGCTGTGAAGCCGCAGACTAGGCTTCACTCCTAGAAGCTTTATTTTTCCGGGACTGCTCGCTGACTGAATCCCAGTAACAGCCCTTCACATTGTTCTGCTGATTGAAAATCTCTACCTGAAAAGGTTAGAATTCCTCAGAGATACTTAATGATCTCTCTGAAGACTGAGCTCCAGTTCTTACTTAACTTAGTTACTTTTATTGATTTTACAGTATTGATCAAGTTTGGTTGAATTTAAAGTGTTTCTTAAAACACTTTTTTAAAGTAACTCTTTACTCCCCTCCAAATAATAGACCTATTAGTTTATTAGGCAGTCTATCCAAAATATTTATTGCTTCTTTTTTTTTTTGAGACGGAGTCTGGCTCTGTCGCCCAGGCTGGAGTGTGGTGGCTGGATCTCAGCTCACTGCAAGCTCCGCCTCCCAGGTTTACACCATTCTCCTGCCTCAGCCTCCCAAGTAGCTGGGACTACAGGCGCACTGTGTTAGCCAGGATGGTCTCGATCTCCTGACCTTGTGATCCGCCCGTCTCGACCTCCCAAAGTGCTGGGATTACAGGCTTGAGCCACTGCGCCCGGCCTATTTATTGCTTCTTAATCTGCAAGCTTGAGTATTTTTTTAGGCCAGCATTTATATGTAGGGTTCATCAACTTTGCTATGCAGACTTTGTTGTACTTTTTAATCACTACCTGGAAAAACCTTTTAAGAGTAAAGTAGTCTTTCACTCTAAAGTTAGGACTCAGCGCCAAAGTGAGTTCACTGTAGACCCCTGACACTTGAGACTTGTAGAGAGACTGTACTCTCAAATCCTTCGATAATCAGAGTTGAAAACAAAATTTAAATTAAAAAGAAAAACTTACTGTACAAATGGTTAATCACAAAACATTGAAAGGTTCAAAAAAGAGAGAGAGGCCAGACACAGTGGCTTACACCTATAGTCCCAGCACTTTGGGAGGCTGGGGCAGGAGGATCACTTAAATGCAGGGGTTCAAGACCAGCCCCGGCAACAAAGTGAAAACCTGTCTCTACAAAAAAATTAAAAAAATTAGCAGTGTGGTAGTACACACCTGTAGTCCCAGCTACCTTAGAGCCTAAAGCAGGAGGACCCCTTGATCCCAGGAATTTGAGGATGTGCAGTGAGCTATAATCACTGGACAAAACAGTGAGACCCCATCTCTTAAAAAAGAGAGTGTGAGAGAGAGAATCAGAGTTGATAATAATGGTCTCTTGATAGAACAATGAATAACATGTATTATGGTAAAATAGAAGTATGTTCTGATTCTCCTACTTTTAAACTTTATTAATCCAAACCTTTTTTTGGATGAGCTAGATATAGATCCTATGACTATAGAGAATAGACAAGTATTATTTTACATAATGGTTATTAAATTTTATTATCACCACCTGCATCTTTCACTGCTATTTAAGCAGGGGTTGGCAGACTTTCTTCTGTAAAGGGACAGATAGTAAATATTTTAGGCTTCTGTGGACCAGAAGGTTTCTATTGCAACTACTCAGCCCTGCTGTTGTAGAGCGAAAGTAGACATAGGCAATATATAAACAAATGAGCATGACCATGCTGTAATAAAACTTAATTTGTAAAAGCAGGTGGCTGCCAGGCCATAGTTTGCCAACTACTCATCTAAATATAGATACAGAGGATTCAGATATTCCAAAGCTATAGTTACTGTTTTTGGTAGATGATGTCCCCCAGCTTTTAACTTATAGTTAATAACCCATATAGTAAGAAACATCAGTCATACTGTGGTGTATATTTCTTAAATTTCTTAATTAGTTAAAGAAGATAAGAAGTAACATTGCTGAAATCTGGTTCTTCTTTGTGTGCTATATAGAGGATTGGGTTTGTTCAGTCTGAGACATGTCTTCAGTTATACCTGTTTTTTCATGCTAATATTTCACCCAATTATGGAACACAAATGTGAACCTTGATGATGTAGTATAACTGTCCATTGACTGGACTCAGAATTGTTTTGAAAAGAGAATCTTGGCCAGAATATTCCTATGAGAAATCTTATGCCATCCTTCTAGGCAGTGCTCTGTATGTAACATGTTCTTTCACCTTTGATTACTTTTAGGATTTCCTTTTGAGCACTGGTTTTGATGGATTTGATTAAGATGTTCCTTGGTGAAGTTTTCTTCGTGTTTCTTGTTCTTAGGATAATCACAGTTCTGTAATATTTGAAGTTTATGGTTTCCATGAAGGTCCTTAATCTTTCATCCAGTATGTTTTAAATATTTTTGTCTCTCTTCTCCACTACACGCCCTTCAGGGATTCCATTTAGCCCTATACTAGGGTATTTAAAGTTTTTATGCTGATGGTCCTTTTATGTTTTCAAGTTATTTGTTACTGTGTGTTTCATTTATGTTACTTTCAACTTCTATTCCTTCTAGTTCAATAATCTTCCCTTCCGCAATGTTTAATCCAGTGCCTTCTTCCATTTCAGACTGTAAATCATAGTTTTTATCTACAGAATTTGATATTTAAAAAATCTTCAACCTCTCCATTTAATTAAAATACAATTATAACTGCTCTAATGTCCTTTTCTGCTATTTCCAGCATGTGTGTCAATTTCAACTAGATGATTAGATTTTTCATTATGTATCTTGTTTCCCTGCTTCTTTGGTTGCTTGATATTCTTTTATTTTATTTATTTTTTTTTTTTTAAATTTTATTTTTTGGGATTGAGTTTCACTCTCGTTGCTCAGGCTGGAGTGCAATGGTGTGATCTCAGCTCACTGCAACCTCTGCCTCCCAGGTACACAAGCGATTCTCCAGGTACAGGCGATTCTGTGCCTGGGTAAGTCATTGACTTTCACTGGGATTTTTTTTTTTTTTTTTTTCCGACATCTAGAAACTTAAGTTGGCAATTAACTTTCTCAAAGAAGTTATGTGAGAATGAATGAGACCTAAACATTGCCTCTTCCGTCTGGCAGCTGTTAACCTTTATTAGTTACGGTGTTCATGCTGGGGCAGGTGCTGTTTTCAGATGTCAATGGATATTCACTGGTTGAACCCTCACAAGGCCATGAGGCACATTCTATTATCCCTGTTTTGTAGAGGAGGAAACAGACTTCTGAAGCTAAGTAACTTGTCCAAGCTAACATAGCTAATAAGTAGCAGATCCAGTATCAACCTAGGCAGTATGGCTCCTCTGTTTCCTCCACCATATACCGGTGGTTAGTACAGAAATAGAAACCATCACTATGATAGCAAATACAGTGTTTAGTATTCCTTTCAGCAATTCGTTTTATGCTTCCTCCTATAAAGTTACACTGGGGGAAAACAAATAAATGAACTGAGTGTCCATTTATCCTCATCTAACATTAATTGTTACATGCCCTGAACAAATAGAAAAAGGCTTATTTCAGAAAACAATATGTATGTAAGTGGCCACCAGAGATAGTTTTCTGTATTGTTTGTATTCATTCCTGGGACATGTATTTAGAGACTTCTGTGTTCCTGGCCTGTGCTAGATCTGGTAAAACAAAAATGAGTAAAACGTGATACTTACTCTCAAGAATCTCACACCTCCTTCTTCTATGATAGATTCTTATAAGCCCTTTAATATTTAGTAGAGGCAGTTCTTTCCTCCAGAAACTTACAGTGTCCTTTCTGCATTAGGATCTTAGTGCAACATTGCTGTGCAAACTTGGACCAGGGCAGAGTGAGATAGCAGAGGAGCTGTGCCAGCGTCTACAGCGAAAGGAAAGGATGCTGCAGGACCTTCTAAGTGATCGAAACAAACAAGTGGTGGAACATGAAATGGAGATTCAAGGCCTGCTTCAGTCTATGAGCACCAGGGAGCAGGAAAGCCAAGTAAGGATTAATGCACAGATCAGAAAAGTATCATGTAGTGCATTTATAGTCTGCAAATAGGAAGCATTTGCAGACTATAGATGTGTGTATATTTCTACATTTTACAGTCAACTCTGTTAGTTTCTTTCCTTCCATTTATTACCTAGACCACAGTTTTATTTATTTACTTACTTATTTAGAGGTGGGGGTCTTGTTGTGTTGTGCAGGCTGGTCTCGAACTCCTGGGCTCAAGCAATCATCCTGCCTTGGCTTCCCAAAGTGCTGGGATTATAGGTGTAAGCTGCTGTACCTGACCTGAGACCACAGTTTTACATTAATCAACAAAGTATGAAACATTTCTTGAAAATCTTGCATTTGGAAGGGTGCCTAAACAATACATGTATCCATTAACTTCATTACATACATTTTCTTTGCCTTAATAATCTGATCATTTAAAATCTGAGTTATCTTAAGAGGAAAAAAAGATTACATTTTTTCAGAGGTCATGATGAGAATAAAGAATCTCATAATAGTATGGGGTATATTAATTTCACAATATTTAAGAAGTAAATTCCTTTTTTTTTTTTTTTTTTTGAGAAGAGAGAAGATGGTGCAAGCCTTAATGAAAAGAAATTCAGAATTACAGGCCCTGCGCCAATATTTAGGAGGGACAGACTCCCTGATGTCCCAAGTACCTAACTCTAACCAACAAGCTGAAGTTACCTACATTGGCCCCTGCTCTTGGAGAAAAGACTGATCAAGTAAGAACTATAGACTTAGATAATTCATGCTGATTCCATTTCCTTTTTATATTTGAGGTGTAGGTTTGATCATTTTAATACCAAAATCTCAGAATATTCTCAGTACTGTCATTGTGATCATAGTTCCTGCATCTTCCTAAGTCCCCCGACTTTTCCAGTCTTTTAGGGTTCAATGCAGATACCTTCCAGAGATGGTAGCACTTCATTGACTGCCAAAGAGGATGCCAGCATACCCAGATCCACATTAGGTAAGTATCAAATTTCATTTCATTAAGGGACTCCGTTTTTCTCTTGTTTATCCTTCTAGTAATCTCCGTATTAATAGGTTTGGCCAAGACTCTTTTCTCTTCCTACCTTAATGGAACAAATAAGTTTGGAATTCCTCTGAAAGGCTGAAGAACTGTCCTTACCTTATGTTGAGTCGAGGTTATTGCTTTGGGTTCACAATTTGGCCCAGAGAAACTCTATCCTTATTCTCCTTTTCAGATAGCTTTGCAGGGATTCAGAAATGCAGGAGGTAGTGGTTCCATTCCTGCAGAGTAGGACCATGAGCTGACACCTTTTCCTGGGTATCTTTCAAGTCTGGGGCCACTCACTGTAACTTGACATCACCTACATTAAACCATTAGGAAGGGTAGGCAGTGTACATTGAGTTATTTGCCAAGCCTAGCCCCATTCAGGGGATGGTTTAGAAAAGTCTTACAAGTAGTCATTCTCTAGTAGGAAAACTTTATACTAATCAAAGAGTAAAAGAATGTTGGATTTGTTTTATTTATTCTTTATTTGCCTTTTTAAAAAGTGTACTTTTCCCTAAAGTTTTTATTTTTGAAATTTCAAACCTACAGAAAAGTGGCAAAAATAGTACAGTGAATACTCATAGACCTTTTTATTCAGACTTACCAGTTATTAACATTCTGCCACATTTGCCTTTTTTCTTTCTATTACACACACGTTTGTAGTTGTGATGTATTTTCTGATCCATTGGAGAATTTCTTACAGAAATCATGACACTTTATTCCTGAATACTCCAGTAAGTGTTGCCTAAGAACAGGCGCGTTCTCCTACACAGCTACAATATAATTATCACACTCAGGAGATTTAACCTTGGTATAGGCTTAGTATCTAATATACAGTCCACATTCAGAGTTCCTGTTGTCCTGATAATGTTCTCTATGGCTACTTTGGTTTCCCCCAACCCAGGGGTTATGCATTGTGCTTAGTTGTCCTGTCTCTTAGTCTCTGATCTAGAACGATTGTCTAGCTTTTTTCTTTTTTTCTTTAGTGAGATTGGCATTTTTTTTTTCTTGTTAGCTGGATATATTTCTTTTTTTTTTTTTTTGGTCACAGAATACTGTTTGCAGTAGAGGAAACTGGCATTGCAGTCTGGTGGTATAATGGCTTATTCACAGAAACCAGTACCTGTTCATCCTTTAGCGCAAAAAGCCCTAATGGCGCGTACCCTATTAAAATTCAGGACATCTCCAATATTATCTCTCTCTGTTTTTCTTTGTCATCTTTTTTTTTTTTTTTTTAAATAAACATTTTCAAGGTTTGTCCAAAAGAAGGCCATATAGGTTCTTGGCTAGCGGAAGACAATTCAGAACAGCTATTGCATACTTGAACTCTCACCTTCTCCAGGCTGGCAGTTGATACCTTATTTCTTTTCCAACTCATTTTTATTAAAAAAATTTTTAAAATGCTCCTACTATCAGTTTTAGAAAATCTCTAAGGGAAACACAACAGTAAGGTGCTGAGGTAAAAAAACACCTGAGGTAGCTTTTTCTGTGTGTTTTTCTCATTAAAAAAAAAATCTCATTTCTGTGTTGGCCCTGGGCCAACAACCTTCATAAATTTCTACTTTCCTCCACATTTTTTTTTAAAGAAAGAAATCATTTTGCCGAATATTGCTGAATTTCACTGTGGAATTTTTTCTTTGTGTGGTTGATTGGTTGGTTTGATGGGTTCCTGTTTTCCTCTTCCAAAACGTGAGGAAAAGTACCATTGACTCTTGTTCTTTTAAGTAACCAAGTGTAAGTTGAGGCTGGTTTGTGTGTTTTGCTTTTGTTCCTTTCGTGTGATGTGATATTCGAAGCACTGCTTTGCCTGGGAGGGGGTGGGGTGCGTAGATACGGGATTGAGATGGAGGGATGAGGGAATTCAAAAGAATGGAGATGGAGAAGAAGGGGAGGGGAGGGAGGGGAGAGATAAACAGAGAGAGACAGAGAATTATATAGCAGTATGCAAAAATCCAGTTTAAAACCTGTGAAGCAGAGAAATGGGTGTATGAGCTAGACAGGCATGAGGAATGACAGAGTTTCCTCTTCAAGGAGACGGTATCCCTTCTGTTGACATACACAGGTGATCCAGAACTGGTGTGAGTGTCCTTCCAACAAGATTTCCCTCTGGGTGAATTTTGTGTGGGTGGCCTCAAAGCTCCTCTCCACACTGTGAGACCTCCCAAAGAAAGACTTTATTCTTTAAAGTCTAGAAAAGCCTGCTTTCTCCTTAGAAAGAAAAAAAAAGTAATGATTGATTAAAAATTGGAGTTAGTTATTTGATATATTATTTCTAAAATATATTACCGCTGCAGACACCCTGTGTAACCCACAGACCACATATCTTAACATCTTCCCCTTCTAATATGTACACACATGTACAGAGACGATTTGCCACCAGAAAAGGGTGTGCATGTTGCTTGGCTTTGAACACGTTCACCTATGTTAGTTCAACTAAAAGGGATAGCGTCGTGGGAGTTAAGAAGAGATCCGAATGGATGGTGAAGTGGATGGCTGAAGCCTGCAGAAGCCCTGGGGGGCGAGAGGCGGGCCCCGTGGTTCTGGCAAACCTGGCTGACCTTCCCCACCTCTCCTCGGTCCCTGGGATTCTCGGGGCCTCTGCAGAGTCCCTGGCCGCCTCCGCAGACTTCTCATTCCTCAGATGATCTTTGGTTTGCTCCCGATCTGGCTGGCTGTGTTTGGTCTCATTCTGTCAGGTGTTGGAAGGGCTCCATCCATCTGTTGTTTTGCTGGTGCCTGTGGAAGCCTCACTTGCTGCGCTGTGAGGCGACTCCCGGAGGGTATTTCTGCTCCTGCTGCTTCACCTGTTGTACAGTTTCTCTATCTTGCGCTGTGCAGTCTGGCTAGCAAAGAAGTATCCGATAATTCCGACGATCACTTCCGCATTTTCATCTGGCTTTTCGTTAGGAGGCATGATGACTTCTGCACTGGTTAAGTTCTGCGGTTCATTCATGGTCTTGCCACCTTTGCCAATCACCCGGCCAGCTGTGGAAGAGGGCACTCTGATATGGGCTTCCAGCTTCACTTCTTCTTTGGGGTTAAAGTAGTTTTCTTCTTTCAGTTTCCCAAAGATCCGTCCCTGGGCTTAGAGCTGGGCTTCCTGTGGCCAGGTGATGATGACCATCCTTTTGCTGATGTCTGGGCCTTCTGCAGGGGTGAATCTCGCCAGCTGTTTGATATGTGCCCCCTTCTTCCCGATGATGGCGCCCACAGCCTGGGTTGGGATGAAGAGATTCACAATCTCCTCCTCTGGATAACAGTGATGGTGCGAGAACGGGCCAAACTGGTGATAGGGATACAGGCTGGAGAAGTATCCAGAGTGGGTATTAACAGCCAACATATCATTTTCAAAGGCCTCACGCAGCTTCTTCATAATCTCTATCTCAGCACTGGCACAGGCCTCAATTGTGCCCTTCACAGTGATGGTTCTTTCCGGGTTGTATATGCTCAAATCCTACAAAGATGAGATTGCTATCTTGATCCCTGTTTCATGTTCAATTTTCTTGAAATTCCTGCCTTCTTTTCCAGTCAGTCTTCCAACCAAGCCATTGTGGGCAAAGATTTTCAGAGGAATCTCTTCGGCTAGTTTGGTCTCATCTGCCTCTTTCTGCGTGATTTCAGGAATCATGCGGCATGCTTCAGAAGTCCCCCCTGGGGTGACATGGATGGTGACAGGCTTCTCTGCAGCTCCAGAGTTCTCTTTTCTATGGATGTCTACCTGGGACTGGGTCTGCTTAGTGATGTCCTTTATGGTCAAGCCCTCCTTCCTGATGATGGCACCAACAAACTGGGTGGGGACCAGGATCCTGAACAGGAAATCAATCTGTCTAGCCTGAGAAGTGCCCCCAGGGGCTGGCCCTGCTCCCCGGGAAGAGTGGTCCCCACACTGGGCTCACTGAGGGGACGAAGGGGAGCTCACCTCTTCGTACGGGATGTGGGAAATCTTGAAGAAGTAGTTCTCAAACTGATGCCCACTTAGCTTCTCCATGTTTATTTTCTTCTCTTGTTGCATATGTGACATTGACAACAGCGGTTTCTATGTCTGTGTTGACTTGTTCTACATTCTCCACTGTTCCATATTGAGCCAAAAGTCCATCCAACACCTCCCACTGCAGGCGAGGAGGAATGTTTCGAATCTGAATTTTCCTGCTCCTTAGCTTTTTAGAGACTGAGTAATCAACTTCCATGATTTTCCCATGCAATTCCACTTTACCTGAGAGGGTCTCGATGGCTCGGATGGCCCAGTTCTGGTCGGGGTAGTCCACGAAGGCATAGCCAGACTTGAGCAGGATCTGTCCCATGGGGGGCAGCATCCTGTCCCCAAAGAGCTGCCAGAGGTCATCGGTGGTGACCATGGGGCTCAGGTTCCCAATGTAAAGCTTGTTCATCATCCATCTCTTCCCTGAGAGCCCGCAGCTTCCCTAGCCTGGTACCTGGCGCTCCTCACCTCCTCCGCTGCCCTCATCTCTCCTCCTCCTCCTCCACCACCTCTCCCCGCCCTCCACCTGCCTGCCACCCACTCCCACCCTCAGCCTGGCTCCCCTCACCACTGCAGGCCCGGCCCGCCCAGGGGCAGAGGCCGAGATTGGCATTTTTGAAGAATCCAGGCCAGCTAATATTCCTCAATTTAGCTGTGATTGTTTCCTCATGCTTAGATTTGAGTTAAACATTTTTGGCAGGAATACCACACCTTAGTGATGTCCTTTATGGTCAAGCCCTCCTTCCTGATGATGGCACCAACAAACTGGGTGGGGACCAGGATCCTGAACAGGAAATCAATCTGTCTAGCCTGAGAAGTGCCCCCAGGGGCTGGCCCTGCTCCCCGGGAAGAGTGGTCCCCACACTGGGCTCACTGAGGGGACGAAGGGGAGCTCACCTCTTCGTACGGGATGTGGGAAATCTTGAAGAAGTAGTTCTCAAACTGATGCCCACTTAGCTTCTCCATGTTTATTTTCTTCTCTTGTTGCATATGTGACATTGACAACAGCGGTTTCTATGTCTGTGTTGACTTGTTCTACATTCTCCACTGTTCCATATTGAGCCAAAAGTCCATCCAACACCTCCCACTGCAGGCGAGGAGGAATGTTTCGAATCTGAATTTTCCTGCTCCTTAGCTTTTTAGA